CCCCCCCCTTCCCTTTTTGCCCACCCTTTATCTCTCATTCCTCTCTCCATGTCCCTCACATGCACAGATGGACACACACACACTCACGCTCTCAAACCGCCCTCCCCTACTTCAGAGAATTTGATCCCTGGAACTATTTGATATGGCGCTGCACTGTAGTTATCTAATCATTCTGCTTTTTGTGAGGCCCGCTGGAAGAAGCAGAACAGCTGGCGTTCACAGACGAGACCCCCGCTCGTTGCGGCGAGCTCGAGGTCGCGAGGTGGCCGGGCCTCGTTTTAGAAGGTCAGACCTGCTACAAGTTGGGAGCGCGACCTTTAACCCCTTGCACCTTCGTGAATCTCCTCAGAGACGTTTTCCATCCAGTTTTAATTCAACACAAAAAAAAACAGTACAATTATCAAGTATAAGCATAACATGCATTTCAAACATTCCTTCAAAAAAATGTAAACATCAGGCCGAGGGTGTCGTAGAGAAAGAGAGAAGTTTCTTTACAATAATACTGCCTTGCTGTGGCATATAAAAGTGAGGGATTCTGCATATGACAATCTATACTGCAGTAAGAATGAAAGATGGTGTTCATTACACTGCCTCCGATATAACGCAATGTACCAAACAGCTAAAGGCTATGAAGTATACTTGGTTTCTCCGAGCCAACAAATTACATATTGATTCAGAAACGGCTCGATAGCCATTTGCAATTTCTGAATTTGGATGCAGATATGAAACGTGCTAAATCTGATAAGGGTGACAAACGGCTGCAGACACGAGCGTGACCTCCCGCTGCTGCCGACGTCCGCCACCTGATGGTTTCACGTTGTACCTTAAGCGTGATATTGTTAGATACACATGCACAATAAACCGGCGAGTGGGTGTCGACTGGTTTTTACTGACCACATCCTTGCCGTCATAAAACTTGAGCTACATCGTTGTATGAAATGTTGAAGCGGTTTTCAGATATCTTGTTGATTGTTTTGTTCGTATTCAGAGCTGGTGCGTCAATTGGAATTTTAAGTAGAACATGTATTTCTGTAAATGGACCCACTCAGAGTTGAAGTCTGAAGTGGACATTATTTTTTATCTTTTTCTTCCATTAATTTTAAGACAAGATAACCAAAAGGAAATGGTTCAATAATTTTGGAAAATGTGCTCATTAGTTTACGAGAATAAAAAGATTGATTTCACTTTCTAGTCTCAACAATATCAAGCTAAAGCTAAAAGGTAACAAGGAAGCCAGCTCTGTCCAAAGCTACAGCCAAGAGTTAGCATAGCTTTGCACAACAAGTGAACCAGCTAGCAACTGAAAAGGTGTTTTTATCGTGTTTTAGCAAAGACCGAGATAACTGCGTAAACCTTTGGCCGAGCTAATCATAGCATGAAATGATTGCGTGTTATTTTGGAACATTTAGTAAGATAAGTAACCGTTTCCCTCTGCTTTCAGTCTTAGTGCTAAGTTACGCTAACCCAACGTCATTAAAAGAAATAGTCTCTTTGAGAGGTCAGATCGATTGAATTACTTGTTTTAAAGAACAATCTGTTCGTGTTTTCTTGTGGCAAGGATGGAACCAGTAAAACCAGATCCACCTCCGATCTGAGAGTGATGCCATCCTCTGTGTACACAAATCAACATTTCACAGACACCCATGTTTTACCTTTGGCGTATAGAATATGGCATCGTATATTGGATGTTAAAGTAATTATCGGTACACGTCAGACATGTTCAAGTTACACTTTAAAGAAGACTAAATACAAATTTGCCTGTTGATCCTTGTTATTAAAAGAAAACCGTTAAACAGACACGTGCACAGAATGTAGAACAGTGGGATGTGATAGACGTCCTTCATCGAGGCAGAGCGTAGAATCCGTGCTCAGATGTAACCTTGCCTGTCGTTGATTTTGTACCAGGCTCTAAAATGGCCACAGTGAGTATGTGTGAGCATGTGAACAGTGCTCCACTGTCCGACAACAATAAGAATGACTGCATGTGTTGAGAGACACTGTGCGTCTCTATTGGTGTGTGTGTACGCGCACGCTCACGCCACCCCTGCCTCATTTACATAGATGCAATCACACCTAGCCCATGCTTCGCATTTTTTTTTCTTCTTTTCCACTCAGGCAGGAGAGAAAAAAAGTGAAGAGTCGTCCATTCAGCGTTGTAAAAAAAATGACAAAGTACATAATACATTCTAAATCTGCAATCGTACGCTGGATTTACGGCCCGCACATTACTTCCTGTTTATTATCAGAGGCTGGAGCATGTGATGCGTTCAGTGAGCCAGCCGGGCAGTCAGTGGTTCAGACCAAGTGGTTTGGCCTAGTGGGAAGCCGCGGGACAGACAATGGCAGCACTGTGTGGCTGAAGTGCCTTTGGTGTCAATGACTCTGCCAGAAACTGAGACTGGCAGATCCAAAATGGCGGAGTGCAGAGAGCCCTGCTGGTGCTCGTCATGCTCTAAACAGGGGCAGTTTTGATCCTTCTCTTTTTTGTGTGTGTGTGTGTGTGGGGGGGGGTTCAGCTTTCTGTTGGTTTTCTTTCATATCGGAGGTGGGAGGGTTAAAAACGGGGGAGCAAGCAGTGCAGTGCTGCTCGAGCTAATCTGCTGGCTTTTTATTTGTTTCGAGGGGTGAAGGGGACGAAGAGCGAGCATGTGGGAGAAGTTCAAACACAGTCCGACGGTCGCGCTCGTCTGTGTTCCTGCTCCCTGAAGTCCAGGTCGGCTCGCCCACAGGTGGGGGAGAGATGTTCAGGTTGTCAGAAAGTCCAGGGTCCAGTTGCTGATGGGAAATAAGTCACAGGAGGAGAAGGAGGAGGCAGAAGAATAGAAAATATTAACAATCCTGCAGAGTGAGAAGGGATGAGGCAACATTAGCTGCAGATTGACTGTAAATAAGATGGACGACACGACTCAGCGTTCTCCCGCTATCCAGAGTTTAAACTGTGACATCGAACGAACGCTGAGCATCTGAGACGTTACTGAGAAAAATGTATTCGACTTTCTTTACTTTGACTTTTTCTGTTTGGTCCATGTCCCATCTGCTAACATGGAGGAGGCCTATTCATGACCTACACCACTGCCAACCACCAGGGGGCCATGTTGTCCATCTGATTATACAGTCTATTGGGAAAACGATAAAGGGAACTTACTCTTCTTGCGATGGCGGTTACACAGCTGTGGAGGGAGACTGACTCTGAGGAGGAGAAAAGAAACCGTCACATTGTGTGTTCTGCACTAAAATGTGCAAGTGTACGTGTGCACGAGCGGTAACCCCCCCCCCGTGTTGTTGAATATGTGCATATCTCTGTCTGTGTGTTTGTCCTCATCTGTTTGAGCTGTGTGTGTCCGTCTGTCTGTCAATCTGCTCCCAGCACAGTCTGTTTGCCAATCTGTCAAATTCTGTTTGCTAGATAAGGAGATTGTGTGTGTGTGTGTGTGTGTGTGTGTGTGTGTGTGTGCGTGCTAGTCAGGTAGTTCTGTTTACTTGCAGCTGAGAAAATTCTTTCTCTCTTTACTTTACGAATATATAGAAATACTCATCTGGTTGAAAAGCGTTTTTATGTTTTTGTCACTGGATCAGTTTTTAGGTCACGTACAGATGGCTGCTATTCTCATATCTAATCTGCAGTAAGTAATTTCTGCCACTAGGGGGCTCTCAATCAAAACAATAGCAAAAGACATAAATGGTGAGGTTGACAGTCACCGTGGGATCATGGGATTTGTTGTCTTCACCAACCACGGTGATAAAAAATCTACCTGACGGGTTTTTATTAAAGTTGAATTCATGTTACACAGCAAATAGTAAAAAAAACTTCGTCATACGTCGTTTGAAGTTTCAACAAAATGAAACGTCTCCTGACCTCCAATGAAATGCAGATTTCTCTGGGTTTGAATTTTGTTTTTTGCACAAACACAATCCTTCTTATGTAAAACATATAGAAAATGAAAAGACAAACAAAAAGATTGTTCTGGGAAAAACATTATCAAACTTAATGCGATTTAGTTTTCACCTAAAAAAAGAAATCACGCTCGGAGATCAGGCAAATTACTGCTGATTAGAAAATGAAATATTTCAGGCATCTGGGGTCAGTGACCATGTGATTACAACATCTCCGCTTTGAGTCTGGCTGGGAAAGTCTTTGTTGCATGACATCTTAGTTTATTTCTTCGTCCCAAACTGCTACAGATTAGTGGTTCTCAACTCAAACATTTGTAGATTCGTTTGTTAAAATGACCATATGTGATTATTCTTTGTGACATGGTGAAAGTATTTTTCACACACGTCTAATATCGTTCTGAGAGATTTGTGTAAAAACATAGGTGATAAATGATATAATGTCAAATCTTTCCAAGGGTTGATTCAGAGGGAAAGTTAGAGAACCCCTGGTCATTTGAAAGATTTTCTTATCTTGCTCATTTTTAGCCGTAAATTAGAAAACAAGCGACATTTAACTTTGTTTTAAAACCAATTAGAAACTGAATTGATGAATAATAACTATATATTGATGATGGTTGTAAATAGATAGTCATCAGTGATATATGTTGCAGCAGCCTCAGAGCACTGCGCCCTGATGACTCCACCATAACGTCCGATCAGGAACCTTCTGAGTTCCTCTCTCCTTGTTTTACCCTCCTCACATTTCAAACTTAAATCAAACAGACGCGCGGAGGATTTTCTCCGAACAGAAAATGTTTTCAGTCCCTCAGGAATCACTCAGATGTTTTTTATAAAACCCACCTGTGAGTAACTTGTTGAGCCAGAGCTCCTCCTGGGGTCCCTCCCAGACGCCGGGGATCCCCCCTCCTTCTGACTGCCGACGGAGGAGGAGTCGGAGCAGCTACTGTGGACTGAGAGAGAGAGAGAGAGAGAGAGTTAACAGACAGCAGGTTACACACACACACACACACACACACACACACACACACACACAGAAATGTATATTTCTGTCTTTTAGCTTCAGGTGCAGCGACACATTCAGATAATGACACCAGGCATGGTTTGATTCCTATTTGAATTTTGTGTGTGTGTGTGTGCGTGTGTGTGCGTGTGTGTGTGTGTGTGTGTGTGTGTGTGTGTGCGTGTGTGCGTGTGTGCGTGTGGTATAATGTGAAAACCATTGTGCCATAATGTTTTGTTGAAATTAAAAATGGAGGTGGTACGGGGAGAGACAAAGAGGGGAGTCGGAGTGAGGAGGCATTTTTCTCATCCTGTTCAATGAATTTCTAACACTGTGTCCCAGAGGACAATTCATGCATTGAAATCCTGAGCCGCCGCACTCAATGAGACCCCTGGTGAGCAGTACGAGCATTGCACCGGTGTGTGAATGGGGACTCGCTTCAGCTCCGGGGCCACAGCCGACTACAGAGACCGGATGGAGGCTGGAGGTTTTCTCACTCTGACGTATTTCCAGACATTTTGCTGCAGGAGAAGCTCCAGAGACGCTGACTCGGACGTTTTCACAGACAGAACCTGCAGAACATGTCTGGACCTGATCACACGTCTGGAAGCAGCTTTAGATACAACATGCGGAGACAGACCCAGGACCCGTCCAGTAATCGGATTAAACCGAGCGACTTCCTGAAAGCTTCAGTCTGAACTCAAACATGGTCGAGTATCTGTGAGGAGAGAAGTGCAGCTCTGTGGTGTCTCACATAAAACACAAGTCTTCTCTCATCACTGATTTAAACAGAATCACACCGGCTATGAGATTAACGGTCCGGTTGACCATCCACGGACTCAACTGAAGATTTAAGAGCATGTTTCCGGTGTTTCTCGGACCTGAGGCCTCACACTCGTATCGTACAAGTGTTCCGGATGTTCCAGATGTGCGTCGCACGGTGCTCACCTCTGTCGTTGAGGCTGTAGATGGAGTCCAGCTCTGAGACGGGAGTTCCTGACGCGTCCAGCAGCAGTTTGCTGGAGATACCCATGCACAGGGACTCCTTCAGGCACAGCTCTGGGAGGAGGAGAGAGGGAGGAGCGGATTTGGTTTCATTTGCAGGATGTGATAATGAAGTGAAGCTTGTTTCAGTTTAATGAGCGAGTACTTCAGGTACCGCAGGAGAGAAGCGGCTCCAACGGGTAAAACACTGATCGGCGTTTGTGGGGCAGGGGAGGAGCCTGACTGAGACCCTGAGGGCACTACGCTCCATACAGCTCCTTTAACTTTAGGGAGCGAGGTGTCAGAGGTCAAAGGTCGCACTGGCTGTACCTGTGTTGCTGATGGCGTGTGTCCACAGCAGATGAGCGATGTCGTGGGTCCAGGCCTCCCTGCCCTCCCTGTCCTGCGCCTGCAGCGTGACGCAGTCTTTGGTCCGAGGAGCCTGACGAACCCAAACTTCAAACTTCAGCCCGTCGTCACCCACTCGCTGAGTCAGACCCATCTCGCCCGTCTGCAGGGGGAGGACACGGAAACGTCAACTAATGAGGTCAAAGGTCAGAGATGTGTGTGTGTGTGTGTGCGTGCGTACCTTGATGCTGTGTTTGTAGCTGTAGGCCGTGCGTCCTGGTCCAGGGCTCTTCTGCTTGGTGAATATGACGACGTGCTGGTAGAGGAAAACGTTCCTCACGCCCGCCCGCTTCCTCCGACCTCCGCCGCACACCATCAGCTCGCCCTGCCGCACCAGCTCGCCGCGCTCCGCCACAGGGATCTCAAATGACACATAACACACACACACACACATTAGATGCAGTCGTCTCGTCCTCAGGCTGTAAAATCAAGTCGCCTCAGGTTCAGACAAATACTTTGAAATGAATCTGAAATCTGGGAAAACGTCTCCAGATACATTTATGACCTGACACCTGCTGTCATTTCCTCCTCCATCACCTCTTGAATGTTCAGTTTATATCTTAAAGACTTGACGGTTTAAAAAACCCGACAAACTTTACTCTCAATTCGACAAAGGAGAATTATTATGACATTGTGTTGGTGACACGTTCCCTCGTCTTTCTGTGGGATCTCTGCTCTAATTGGCCGCCTGACTCACGCCTTTTGTAGAAATGTGACTTTATTGTTCGCAACAATTACAGGGTTGAGACGTCGGGAAGCCGCTGCGGCTCCGACCAGAGGCACGGAGCGGTTGATGAAAGTCAAACGTTACGTAACGCTCCTTAAAGACTCACAAAGACACAAACGGGAAAAGACGACGACAAACCGGCTCACGCTCGCTCCGACAATAAAATGAAAAGGGAAACAATCGGTGACAGAGAAGTTGAATCTCTAGAGATGTGAGGGTCACGTTACAAGTGATGCTTCATGTACATTCTGAACACCCACACGCACACCTACACACACACACACACACACACACACCTGCACTTCACAGGCATTTTACTGCTGCAGCAGCGTGAAGTGAAGTAGCTCAATGGGAGCGTTTGTGTGTGCTGTGATCTCCCCCCCTCGCTCACAGGGGGGAGGAGGAGAGGGTCGTTCTGTGTGTTTGTGTGGGTGAGTCTGACATTTGTCACGACCGGCTCTGAACCACACTGCTGTGTCAGAGCAGCACAGCACAGGCCGAGTGGAAGTGGTGACACACCGATAAACTCTGAAGCTGTTTTCTGAAATCAACAGCAGACGGGTTTATTCCTCCTCTTTGTGTCTTTGTGGTTCTTCCACTTTGCAGAGCGAAAGATAACTCGGTCATTTACACAACGAGTGCTGGACAAAACATAAACCCCAGAAGGCTTAATTTATTCCAACGTTTGTTTTATTTATTCTAAGGTTGGCTTTTGCATTTATCAGGGCTCAGATTTTATTTAAGCGTTTAAAACTCTGTGATGAATTTTGAGCGTGTTCGACTTTCTTATCACACTGTTGTTTTTTTTGTGTGTATTTTTTTTCCCATTAAGTTTGATTTTAATTATTTATTTGATTGACAGCTGGTTGACAAATTGTCCGTAATGTGACGCCCGACAATGTTGACCGGGTTGTGACGAGCGAACCTCACGTTATCTTCCAGTGGTCGAGGAAATGTGAGAAAATGCAAATGAGGTTCTGAAGAGGAGTCTAAATTATTCTTTAAGATTTAACCAAGGAGAATATTATCCAGAATTAAAAACCATTACATTCCCTTCTTTAAAGCGTCAAACTGTAAATAATGAGCTTCAGATAAAGGGAATAAAAGTGCTAATGATTCCATCTCCTCCTCTGGCCCGACCTCATCAACATGATTTAGCTCCTCTCCCCCCCGAGGAAAGAAAGTGGGACTTGATTCACAGTCATAAACTGGGACAGGCGTTCTCACCGGACATCCGACGATGAGGTCACTGGCCCTGAGGTCCTCGCCGTGCCGCTGGGCGTGTCTCAGGATAGGGAGGGCGGAGTCGGAGGCGGCGTTGATCCCTCCCAGCTCCTCCAGGGCCTCGCAGTACTGCTCCAGCCTCTGAGTGGGGGCCTGCAGGCAGTGGGGGAAGGAGAGGGGGGAGAGGGGGGAGGCAGCAGGGAGTTTGGACTGCGGGGAGGAGGAGGAGGAGGAGGAGGAGGAGGAGATACGTTAGAGGTGGACAGCTTTCACTGACGTCTCCAACCAGACCTTCACTGTCAGGTTCATCTGCTCTCTAACTGTAGACTTCTCTGCCTGTCTGTGGACCAAACATCTGTAGGAGGGAGTGAGGAAGTAATACTGCAAAAACTACAGAAATGCTCTGTGTACTACTACTTCAAACGAGAAACTATATAATCTGAGACCGACCTCACGTCTCTTAGTGTCGAATGAGGACGATGGAAAGTATATTTATAACTGAACTGCTGGTGACGACGTCATTTAAAAGCACATTTTATTAACT